TCCCCCGCTCATAGAGACTGCGTATTACAGTTGATTATAGTTCCTGGGTTCCCTGTGATGAGATATACACAAATTATAGCTTATTTGTAAACAGTCAGTAAATCGTCTGAAAACTTGATATATCGAGTGTACAAATAAACCTATGATTAGCCCTGTGCTATTTGTGTCTACAAGGAAGTGTTGCGTCCGGGTAATAATATGACAACTGTCTAGACTTGTGAATGCGACCAACACGGCCGTCGACACAAAATATAATTATTGTTGGAAGCCATGTGTAGCTATAATTCTGGCTCACTATCAACCTGCGATTATTGATATTAGTTACCTTAAATGGGTAATATTCAAAACCAACAGGTGTGAAAATTTTGGATAAATGTTCATCCACATCCTCACTCGGAGCAGCCATACTAGCACGAACTTCTACCTCAAACCAGCTACCAATCAAAGCTGGACAGTGTGAAGTTGGTACGCAATAATAGCGCACAATAGAAGCTGGCACACAATAAAATCAAGCATTAAAAAAATGGCATTTTTGTCGTGTACAGTGGTGATTTGACTAAAATAATCCAAATTGGGATATTTGATAGCCGAATTCCCTCTTTTTGACAAAAACTTTTAACGAAAATACAACAAGGCCATACAAGTGCTAAACCCTATCGCACTGTATATGGCTGGCAGTTTCATCAAATAAATAACTGCCTCGTTTTTTAAAAAAAAGACAATTATAGTTTTACGCATTATAAACCACCTGTGAGACGAAAAAAATAGTTATAATATTTCAGGTTTATCGCACAAATGCGATGTTATTTATAATTAAATCGGCTGCAGTCACTTCATACTCAAATTTAATATTCGAATGTTATATATCAGTAGAATTAACAGTAGATTATAAATATGTCAGTCTCTTTCCGGCACAATATGTTGTCACAATATAACCATGCCCTAAACTGTGACAATATTTCACGTTTTTGGTACAAAAAATGCGTCAATTCATGTAATCAAATCGGCTGTAGTCACATCAAACACGAATTTATTTTCGAGTCTTATATATCAATCGAGAGAGGACCAATAGTAGATTAAAAGTATAATACTCACTGTCCGGCACAAAAAGTTGTCACTCTGAAACCACGTCCTGAATATGGCCTATATTTCACGTTTTTGGCACAAACAAATGCCTTAATACATTTAATCAAACCGGCTGCAGCCACTTCAAACACAACTAATTATCGATTATTATATACCGGGGGTATCAATCGAGAGAAAACTAATAGTAGATTGATTGTATGTTAGTCACTGTCCGGCACAATAAGGTGTCACTCTGTAACCATGCCCAAAACCTGGTTCATATTTCACGTTTTCCTCGCAATAAATGCGATGTTATTTATATTAAAATCGGCTGCATTCACATCAAACACAAATATATTTTCGAATGTTTTATGTCAATCGAGAGAGGACCAATAGTAGATTAAAATAATATTAGTTACTTTCCGGCACAACAAGTTATAACTCTGTAGCCATGCCCTAAGCTCTGACAATATTTCACGATTTGTTACAAAAATGCATTAATACATTTAATCAAATCGGTTGTGTTATATATCAATCGACGGAGTATTAAAAATATTATTGAAAATATATTAGTTACTGTACGGCACATTGTGTTGCCACTCTGTAACCACGCCCTAAACTTGGTCTATATTTCACGTTTTACACAAAAATGCATAAATTTAAAATACTCAATAGTTCAATAGTTTGAACCTAAATAAATCCATGATCTCCTCTCTCTCCGCCTCCTAAAAGATGCAAACAACCATTATGTCACATTATCAATCTCTCCCTCACTGCAGGTATCATTCCAGACCAACTTAAACTCGCTACTGTTTCACCAATTTACAAGAAAGCTTCTCCCTATTTTAATAGTAGGCAACCATAGACCAATTTCCATATTGACAATTATTAACAAAATTATTGAAAAAAAAACTATTAACAAGCAATTCATTTTATTTCTTGACAAACATAAAATCATTAACAAATATCAGTATTCGGGAAAAAAATATAGTACTAAGCTCTCACTCATTGACATAAACTTTGACCTTGTTAGAACAACTGACGACGGCATCATAGTTTTTGGTGTATTTCTCGATCTAACTAAAGCCTTTGATACCGTCAATCACAAAATAGTACGATCCAAGTTACTTAATTATGGCATCCGGGGTACCTAACCGTAGACAATATGTTCAGGTAAATGGTTATCATTCCTAGTCCCTTCCTATCAATTATCGAGTTCCACAAGGATCTGTCTAGTAGGCCCTATACTTTTTCTTTTATATATAAATGATATGCCTAATAAATCCTCCCC